AGCCTTTTGCCAAGGTTCACCCTGTCCTACAGGGTCACTATGAGTCGGCATGACAGTGGGTTTTTGTTTGTTTATTTGTTTTGCTTTGAGACAGAAGCAGTCTAATGAGGACACATTTCCCCCTGAGATCCTGTAGGGGATAGCCCCAGGATCCCAGCAGTGGTGACCAGCAATTCAGTTGACACTGAACTGTGAGATGAAATGGGGCATTCTGGACTTTTCAGGGGGCCCATTCATTGTTTGTTTTCTCACATCTGGGACTCTTGGGCTCTTGTGTCGATTGCGTGGCTTTAAGGCTGTTCCATGACAGACCTCGGCTTCTTGGTCTTTCCGGGTCTCGCCTGCAGACCTCCCTTCCCTGTACCTGCCCATGACCATCTCTGCCCACGCAGGCCACCTCAGTGCCCCACGGAAATGGAGGCTCTCTGAAGGGATCTCTGTTCCTGCCATCCATTACATTGCTGCAATGACAGATCCCTCCTCTTCTCGTGCTGGTCGGTCGGGAGGAGAAGGTGGACATTTAAGGGGATTGTCTTATTTCATGAAAAAGTACGAGGTTAATTTCGCTTTCTGGTTTCCCCTGCCCCCAACCTCAATTCTGTAAAGGAAGCAGGCGTGTCCGTGATATGTATGGGAAAGAAAAAAACCTGACCAAAATTGCCCAATGAGGAAGTTCTAATCTCTAGATTGTAAAAGTCATTTTATCTAAAACTGCTATCTCTTTTTCTAGCACACCCTCACCTTAGAGCAGGTAGGTCTTTCCCACGGCTCAGCTGGGTTTTGCTCCAGGCTGCCTCTGTTTCCCCAGCCTGCAATATACTCTTCTCCTGAACTATACCTTTTCCTGCTAGAGATTTGAAGAGAAACGGCCCCACGGTGGTAGGTACTACACCCACAACAGAAAGGGAAGGAACTATTTGAGAAAACAGTGTTTGCTCTGCTAGCCTCGAGGGTGACTGAGTCAGGGTAGAAATATCCTGGAATTCTCCAAAGGTGACCTTAACGGAGGAGTGTCTAGAAGCAAACAGAAAAAGGGTGGAACTTTAGCACTGAGACCAACGCAGGGTTATTTCCCAGGGATGCCCTTGGCCTAATATCTTCATCAACTACTGGTTTTCATAGACTCTAGGTTGGCCACCAGGGGGTCAGGCGATATTCAGCAGTGCTGACCAGAACCTGGCCTGATGGTCTTGCACCCCTGCCACGGCCAAGAAGTGAATGTGAACCAGCTCAAGCACAGGGGAAGACACCTGAACCCCCGGCCCTAGAGGGGTCAATCCAGCTCCTTTGGGGTGGAGCTGGCGAATTCTTACTGTATTTCAAGCTCCTCACATAATTTTGATATGCAGCCAAGTCTGAGAACTCTGAATTTTAAGGAGCAGAATGGAGTTTATTGAAGTCATCAGAGAGCAGATCGGTCTCAAATTAAGGACTAGCTTTCTAATCACTAGTTCCAGGAACTGGAACTAGAGAAAATGTAGCGAGTCGGTCGTGAACAGGCACATTCAAGCCTAGGCCAGAGGACCAGCCAGTACGGTCAAAGAGGACCCTGGAAAGTTCTCTACCCTTCTTGGGATTTGAGCTGGTTACCTCCAAAGCCATGGATTGTTAAGATCCTGTGAATATTTTTTAGCCACAGTTCCACTTTCCTCTCATCATTTCACTCAAACTCACTGCCATTAAGTTTATGTCAACTCAGTAACTGTGTGTGTGTGCGCACACACACCACTGAGTCCATTCTGACTCACAGTGACCCTATAGGACAGGGTAAAACTGTCCCTGAGGGTTTCTGAGACTGCACCTTTTCAAGGTGTAGAAAGCCTCATTTTTCTTCTAAGGAGTCCCTGATGGTTTCAAACTGCTGACCTTGTGATTAGCCCAATTCGGAATCCATAATGCGACTAGGGCTTCTGTGCACACTTGGTGATTCCTAAATGACTCTTCCATGACTTTAGGCCAACACTCCCTCTTTTGAAACACATGGTGGGGAAAATCTGCAGGATTCTGAATCAGGCATCCCTTCCCTTCCAGTCCAGCTAAATGGTCTTTGAATGAGACTGCTTCTCGTTTCTGACTTCCTGTGCCCCTTGGCCATGGCTTGCCATAACACGCCTGTGCCTGCCGAGGCTGGATGGACCCCACCTGAGAAGGGCGCCATTAGATGGTTAACCCTTCCTTCTCAAGTGGCCTTAATATAGTCCAGGTGGATATAGTATCTTACTTTGATGCTGTCCACTCCTGAATTTTAGGAGCCCAAGAGCGCAAAGGTGAAAAGGGAGGAATAGGGCCAAGGTTCAATACCAGCATTGTCCACAGATGCCAGGCTTGCATTTTTCACTCTGGGTGTTCGAATGTGATGGGGAGGAAACCAAGGCTGGGGGCCACCCAGGAAGCCAGACAGGAGGCAGAGTTGGCCCACATGAAGAGGCCCCAGAACAAGGATGGGTGGTCGTTCTGAAGACGTGGCTTTTGAGCGAGAATGGCCTCGGTTTGAATCGAATTCTGCCCCTCAAGTGTGTGACTGATAAAAAAAAAAAGTTTTACAAAACGATCGAGGAGATCAAGCAATAAAGTACAGAGGCTGGGGTCTGGCAGGAAAGAGATGCTTAATGTTGATGGTAGCTATCATTGTCATCTTGTCATTGATTGTATTTGTCCCCGAGCACTTGATGATAATCTACTAGTCAATAGACTGCATGACTTCAGTACAGGGTGACCATTTAGCTTGTTAGTTGTTTTTCTTTCTTTTTTTTTTAAGGGCTTAATACCTACGGAGAAAGGAGGAGAAGTACCAACTGGACTTCCGACAGGTCTTGTAGAGTTTAAGAGAATTGAAGAGAAATGAAGATTGGCTTCTGTAGATCTGTGATCCCTTGTGTGTGTGTGTGTGTGTGTGTGAGAGATCTCACCCCCTACTCATCTATACAGGGTCTCCCCTGCTCCTTTGGCAACTCTCACCCCCATCTGAGGAGTGGGGTGGCAGGATGGCTTCCCCCCCACTCTTTTTCTTCCCTTGGGAAACTAGTTGGGAATTTCATATGGGACATTGCATGACAATATCCAGAGACATGTCTGTTACCCCCACTGACCTCTGGCTGCCTAGCTCCACGGGTCACACTCACTGTGCTCTGACCTTAATGTCTGCACCGGGTTTTGGCTGGAGTAGAAGATGACCTTGTAGTAGGTCTTTGCCAGCCTGAATGTACTGCAATGCCTGCGGCAGGGTTACTCAATCTTCAGAGTAAGTGCTACCTATGAGGGTCCTTCAAAAAGTTCATGGGATATTGTCATTGGCCTTTCTATTCCGTTTCCCATGAACCTTTTGGAATCCCTTCATAAGTGTTACCCACAGAGGGTCTATTGGACTGTCATTGGGCATGGCCTGACATTTCCCTCGGTTCGGGGTGGCCTTGGGCTTGGTGCATAAGCATTGAGATGTCTGACACGAGGTGCTGTTCCTGGGCCGACTGAGTCCAGAGGATCTGGAGTGGGAGGCCTCTGGGGTAGTTTAAGCTGCTTTGGGTTTCAGGGATTGTTGGAGACTGCTGGAGAGATGGACTCTCATTTCACCTCTAAGAAAGAGGCTTGTTTGGCATTGAGCTGAAACTGGATCCTGTTATCTCCTGGCCGGCTGCAGACGTCACTGTAGGTGAAGAAGCCAGGCCTCCTTGGGTGCACCCTGGCTCTCTGGCCCCATAGGACGCTAAGGGCAGTGACCCTGCTCCATCCCAGTGGGGACTGGCAGCCTTACATCCCTGAAGGTGGAGACAGGGCTTGAAGGACAGTGGACTCAAGACAGTGAGGTGCCAGGAGTCTGAAATCAAACAGAAAGGGCTGTTGGTTGTTTCAGATTTTAGACTGATAGGCTTTGATTATCTGAAAGAGTGGCCTTTTTTATCAAGAGCCCCGTGTGTTGCAAATAGTTAACCTGCTCAGCTGCTAACTGAAGAACTGGGAGTTTGAGCACTTCCCCTCCCCCGACATACACAGCCACACACACACACACACACACACACACACACACACACATGCACGTTAGAAGAAAGAGCTGGTGAGCGCTGCTGTGGGAAAACTAACCAGCCGTGGAGCCCTCGCTCTGACACATGTCAGGTCACCAGTAGCTGGCAGCCACTGGGCAGCAGCTGGGAGTTAGCATTTAGTAAGCACGGATATTTGGTGAGCTCCTCCTTTTAGCAAATGACCAACCTCACCTGGCGGCTGGTCTCCCTCGGGCTCACCGACACCTGCTGTCATCGCGGCCATTGCTACTCGCAGTGCGCCTCTGTAGGGCGCTCCCGAGGCTTTGAAACCTGTGATGGGAGCAGACCAAGGGCAGGCAGATGGAGTGAGACCGCTGTCGACCTGGTCAGCCGTCCAACGCTAACCAGACCGAGCCTCCAGGCCCCGAGCCATCCCGTGCGCCCGAGGAGGATAGGGAGACCGGGCCATGTAGTGGTGCAGCTCTCTAGTAGAGGGGCTCTCGTGCTCTCTACTCACGGGTTTGAAGCAGCAGCAGAGTAGGGCCTGGCTGTGGGTGCAAAATGGTTGGAAGAGGGCAGAGTAGAATTGGGGGTTCTATGAGTGAAGGGCTGCTTGATCTGGGGGTGAGGGTTGATGGCATGGGCAGGACTAACCGTGGAAGGTGTGGGGACCAAGAGGTGAGTCCGGAAGCCCAGCTCCCGGGTCTGGCTCCAGCCGGACCAGAGACCCAGCCTGCTGGGAAGAACTCTCTTTTTTCTGACTGCTTTTCTCTCCGTCGCCTTCATTCTCTAGCACCTGTTTTCTCAAGCGAAAGACCCAAGAAGCCCAATTGTCACGTTCCTTATTAGTTTGTTAAAGAGGAACGGCTGTCGTCAGTGTCTGTTAGGTGGTCTGTAAGCACCTTCGTATTAAACAGATTTAATTCCCTCGCAGGACGTTGCGGTGTGTCACCGTACAGACCTCTCTCTCTCGTCCTTTGCTCAACCTCCCGCCTCTACTTCTGTGTCCTTCTGCTTCAGGTCGACCAGTACCTCTACCACATGCGGCTTTCTGATGAGACCCTTCAGGAGATCTCGGAACGGTTCCGAAAGGAGATGGAGAAAGGGCTTGGGGCCACCACCCACCCCACCGCTTCGGTGAAAATGCTGCCCACCTTTGTGAGGTCGACGCCCGATGGGACAGGTACCACACCTGAGGGGGTGGCGCTGGGTGCTCCATCCCTGGGAGGTGGTTGGGTCACTTTGCTCTGGGACATGAAGAACTGTGTGCCAGTGAAGGCTCATTGGGGTCAAAATACAGGCATCAACTGTGAATGTCTGCTTATGAATGTAAGCACACAGGGAACTGAATGGAAGGATGGGGGACCACCGGAAGGGGAAGCTGGCAGTCTAAGGACCTGCTCTGCTAGGCTGGGTTCTCTAGAAAGGCAAAACTAGCGATGCTTTCATGTGTACATAGAGACGAGGCTCTCACTGTGCTGGAGAGGTAAGTCCAGGCTGGTTCGAATCAGTGGGCCAGATGTTAGGCTAGACATTAACATAACCTTGGGAAAACGGAAAGAGCCCTCTATGTAGATGGGGACTAAAAGGTTCTGAAGCCTTCCAGTACAGGGCCTGTCAAACTCCGTGCAATTCCTGTTTCATGCCACACCACCCAGCAATTAATTTAATCAACTTAAAGAGTGATGGTAGAGATTAAGGTTGGAACGGGCCTTGAGCGTAAGCTTAACACAGCTGGTCTTTCTTCAGTAGGCATTGGGGAGTCATGTGAGCGCAACTCCGGTGGGTGAAATGTGCCATGGACTCTCTTGGGTAGCATGCCTCAGCGGCAGCATCTGGAGAGTGAAGAGAGGGGCCAGTGTAGCCTGGAACGAGGCCCCTGGTGGGTGTGGTAGGGAAAGAGGACAAAGGCGGTGCTGAGGTGTGGAGATCAGCTGGCTGGAACTGGAGACATCCCCCTGAGAAGGCGATGGAGCTAAGTTGTATCTGATCTTTCACATAGCATTGTTTCATGGAATCTCACAACAACCCTTCATTTTTTAGATGAGGCGCCTGTTGGAGAGGGGGGGGGGGGGGGTGAGGGTGTGGGACAGGTACTTACATCTAAAAGATGGAGAATTAGCCCAAGGAGCAGCTGTCAGCGTGGTGGAAGGACAAGCAAACACAGTCCCAGGCCATGAGAAGGGAGAGGGCTCCCAGAAGCTGGTGGCTTCTGTAGAAAGGCCATGGGGTTGGGGTTGGAGTGGGGCAGCGGGCAGGGGGTTGACACCATTTGTCACAATAATCTCCTTTAGAAGAACTCATAGCAGACTAGTCTTAAAGGGTTGGGGATTGATGATCCCCCAAATGTCCATCTTTTCCATGATGCTATTGGACTCCAGTTTTGTCCTGCCCCTCTCTGGAATATGACCCCTCAGTTTCTGGGTTCTAAGAATTGTGGCAACACCCCACAGAGCCTCAAGTTTGAGGAAATGTCTCATGTGGTGGTAGGTGCTGTTCAGTCCCAAGTCTGAAGGTCAGGCAGGGGTACAGAGGACACCTTCCACTCCTGGCGTTTGCGGTGATGAGATCAGGCCACCTGCCTCTCAGAGGGCTCATTTTATATTCAGCAGGATGACATTGCAAGGAATCCTGCTCACAGTCACTCACAGGTAAATCTTATCAGTATCTTTCTCCACCTTCTCATGTGACCCTTGCAGGGAAAGGACATTTGGTGAGAGTTACATTGAGTATCAATAGTGCAATCAGATTAACATATATCATCTTTTAAATGATATCAAAAATACAATAATCTGTTCTTTCCCTTGGACTGTATGTTATTTGTGCACACATGATCTGGGGCAGTGGTTCTCAACCTTCCTAATGCCGTGACCTTTTAATACAGTTCCTCATGTTGTGGTGACCCCCCCAACCATAAAATTATTTTTGTTGCTACTTCATAACTGTAATTTTGCTACTGTTATGAATTGGGGGACTCCTGTGAAAAAGGGTTGTTCCATCCCCCCAAAGGGGTCAAGACCCACAGGTTGAGAACCGCTGATCTGGGCCTTTGGCAGGATGTTTCCAGTAGGCCTTGACCTCCTACTAATTTTAATCTGCCAGCCTTCTCCCTAAACAACTCCAGAAGCAGCTTTCCTCCTCTCAGCTGTAGCACATCATTCCTTATATCTATTACGAGTAACAGTAACAAAACTAACCCAAATTCACTGCCAACAAGTCGACGCTGACTCATAGTGACCCTGTAGGACAGGGTCATTTTGGGTGAGTTTCTGAAATGGTAACTCTTTATGGGGGTAGAAAGGCCCATCTCTCTCTTGAGCACTGGCTGGTGGTTTCGAACTGCTGACCTTCAGCAGCCCAAGGCATAGCCACTATTCCACCAGCTCCTAAAGCAACCAAGATAACCATGCAATAAAAACGTGGCCCGATTCACACCCTCAACTGAAGTCTGATCTCAATCTCATTCTATTCCTGTTCATTAGCAGATAATGCCCTCTAAAATGGGACGGTAACCACAGCCATAGGAAGTCCAGAATTATAAGGCATTATGGCTGGAAGGGCCGTATTAATTGAGTACAATTCAGCCTCCTCCACCGTTTCGACAATAGCTGCGGTCTTGCGGTTTATCTGAGGACTACTAGAAATAGGGAGAACCAGTTTGTTGACAGACTGCATGACTTCTAGAACAAATGCACCATTATTGAAGCCTTGAGACAGGGTGGGCTCAGATGGGAAGGTGGGCTCGCCTCGCTCTGGATTGTTCTGAGCGCATCTCTCAGTCCTCCAAGGAGCCCCTTAAGGTGAAGGACCTCCAGGTTCTTGAGTTATCCTGATTGGTGCCTACACTCCCTCTGACTGGTAGCCATGCCCCTTTCTATTGTTTCTACGAGACTTCCTGATAACATTTCTAGCTCTTTAAGGTCAGAGGCTTTGCTTTTAGGCTGCTCAGCCCTAGCACTAATCAGGTACCCTAAATATTTACTGGATACACAACATGACCCAAGGACTGGTCTGAGGGCTTACAAGTATTAAATCGTTTACTTTTCACAACACCCTGGAAAGCAGGCAAACATTTCATCCACATTTTTTGGCCGAGGAATCTGAGGCTTGGGTGGCCAAATACATTGCCCAAGGTCAACCAGCTGATGAGAGGTGGACTCAGGAGTCAAACAGGATAAGCCAACGTTCAAGGCACAAGACAACACCTGATCCATTACTTGTGTGCTCCCGAGTCTATATACTCAGCACTGAGGCACCCAGCACATGCTCATCGACATTTTTTTGTAACTGGGTGTACTGTTGGTGGTATTAGGTGGCATCTAGTTGGTTCTGACTCCTGGGGACCCCATGTATGACAGAACGAAACACCGCCCTGTCTTGGGCTGTCCTCTCAATTGCTATGTTGACCCATTGTTGCAGCTACTGTGTCAATCTTTCTTTTTTATAAATCATTTTATTGGGGGCTCGTACAACTCTTATCACAATCCATCCCTCCATTGTGTCAAGCCCATGTGCACATTTGTTGCCATCATCATTCCCAAAACCTTTTCTTTCTACTTGAGCCCTTGGTATCAGCTCCTCATTTTTCACCCTCCCTCACGAACTGTTGACCATTTATAAATTATTATTATTTTTCCATGTCTTACACTGTCCGATGTCTCCCTTCATCCACTCTTCTGCTGTCCATCCCCCAGGGAGGGGGTTATGGGTAGATCACTGTTGTGTCGATCTTCCTTGTTGAGAGTTTTCAAATGGTTTGCTACCCTCCTACTTATCTAACGTGGTGCTCTTCTCCAGGGACGTGACCTTCCTGATAACAGGTCCAGAGCATGTGAGACGGGAGTCTTGCTGTCTTTGCTTCTGGGGCTGGGTTTCCACATATGAATGGCAGGCAGTTGAATTTATTCATTGAGGAAGACTTCAGTATGAGATCTGTGTGTTTCATACTCCTGGCTTTCTTAAGGATTGGTGGCACTGGGACATCGCCCTGCCCTTCGAGGTCTGCCTGGGTCACTGCACTGTGATCCTGGGAGACTATCTTCCCACCCCTGCCTCAGGTTGGAGCAAGCTGGTGCACTTCTGCTCTCCAGCAGTGTTGGGTTGTTTTGGACTGAGGGTGGCGAGCCAGCAGCCAACGCCCGTCTGCCGGACCTCCTTTCTGCGTAGACACTGGAGAAGCGTGGTCAGCTGTGGGAACCTAGAGAGCCCCTTCACAGCCTCACATTCGACAGTGTAGGTCAGGGGTGTCAAACTGGCGGCCTCTGTGGGCTGCAGAGGTAATTTTTTGTGGCCCACGATGCTCTGAAATAAAATGAAAATAGAAAAAAATTGTTATGAAGAAAATAGTGCTTACGGGAGATGGAGGCAATACCATACACACTCGTTAACCCTTTTGAAAGATTTCAGATGGAGGTGCAGAACAGAGATGGAATTTAGCTGGGAATGTGAACTTGAGAAAGATTTTATTGAGGCAGGGAAAGAATTCCCAGGAGGGGAAGGGAGAGCAGGGAAAGGGACAGGAGCATCTTGAGCCCCCGGGCGGGTGGTGAGACCCACCGAATTAGGTCAGGGAAGTCGCGCCTGGCAGTGAGGCAGTGGGACTTATATAGGGTATGAGCTTAAAGGCATATGAGTTGGTAAAGGGAAAAGAGGTTCCTTGTGCTCTGGTTGCAAGTCTCGGGCCAGGTGACGTCCTGTCAGTAAATCATGTTGTTTCTAGGACACAATGCTAGGGAGAGGGGGGCTGTGTTCTGTCCGGGGAGGTGAGCTTGGTGAAGCGCTGAAGTTCAGGTGCTTTGGAGTTCAGCCAGGTCATTTGTCTTGTTGAGAAGCTGGTACAAGGGGCTGCCCGGTCCGGACCTGGCCCAAGCACCTTAACCTATTAAAGACGAGTAAAATCACAAAATCAAAGTTGCTCATTTTAACTGAGTTTGACACCCCTGGTGTCGGTGAAAGGATTGCTGGGTGTCAAAAGGTTTTGTACCTTAAGTAAAGCGAGCTCAGCCTGGTGCACTGGAGGAAACTGCTTCTGTCCTCCTGCTGCCACACCTGCGGGAGGGCCAGCTCCTCTTCACTGCTCTCCCCAAAGGAGTTGGCCTTTGTGAAACTAGGATTTGATCTTGAACCATGGTATAATATGATCCTTAGCCCGCTGACCTCCTTCTGCACCCAACTTGAATTTCC